CCCCCCCTCCTCCCTTTTCCCCCCTCCTCCCTCTCCCCCCTTTCGCTTTGATTTCGCTCTCCTCCCCTCTGCGCGCCCTGTGTCTGTGTGTGTGTTTTTCGCCGCCGATCGTCCCCAAGCCCCTTGGCATGAGTTAAGCACCAGCTATGGACACCAAACACTTCCTGCCACTGGGTGAGTTTTGTTCCGAAAAAGATTCTCCATTCCTACGGCGGGGCGAGGGGGGGGGGGTGGTTAAATAAAATAAAATCAGCTCCTAACCTGCCCCCCCCCGGCCGCTTCCCCTTCCACCGCCCGCACCGGGGAGGCAGCGGGCGGGGGATGCGCTGCGCCCCTTCCCCGGGGGGGGCCGGCAGCCCCGCGGGGAGACTCGGTGTCAGCTCCGGGGAAAGTGCCGGGACGGCCTTACCCCGTGGCCCCCCGCTCCGGCCGCCTTGGTTTGGTTATTATTTTTTGTTTGGGTCTTTTTTTTTTTTTCTCCTCCTTTGAGGCGCAGCCGGGGTGGGGGCGGCGGGCCCCGGGCGGGGAGCTGAGCTGAGCCCAGCCGAGCCGAACCGAACCGAACCGGGCAAACGGTATTTTCAAACGGGGCAGCGGGTACCCGGGCTCGGCCGGGAGAGCCCCCTCCCCGCCCGGGGCTAGGTCTGCAGGAGGGTTTGGCAGCTCGCAGCCTCAGCTTCCCCCCTCTTGCTTTCCTCTCTCCGTTTCTTTTTTACATTTTTTTTTTTTTTTTAAAATTTTATTTCTTTCCTCCCTTTTCTCCCTCCCCAGCCGGGCAGGGGGAGGCAAAGCGCCCGTGGGGACCCCCGTGCTGCGCCCACACTGGCCCCTCCGCTCGCATCGTCCCTGTCTGGCAGCTCCCAGAAGCTTGGGACCCTCTTTTTCTTTTTTTTTTTTTTCTTTTTTTTTTCCTCCCCCTCTTCTTTTTAGTTAGATTTTAAAACCTATTCCCAGCTGGAGTTTGCCATCCTTTCGGTGACTGAGTCAAGTCCTAGCTTGTAAGGGCGAATGCCTCCTCGCGTCTCGGTTTCAGGAGAAGTGATATTGCAGAGCTCAGTGTTCAGGGTGGGGGGAAGAAAAGTTTTGGCGAAGTAACCCTGGCGCCAAGTCCAGGCGAGGGGGAAGAGGGACGAATCCTGCCATCTCTGTCACCGCTCAGCGCGGTGGCGCGTGGGCTACCAGCCTCTGGCCGAGCAAGCCCGTGGCCAGTGAGATCATCTACTCTGGCTTCCCTGGGCTTTAAATCTGTGCTCAACCTCTGCTAGCCCGTGGTAGTTGTGTTTTGTTTCTTTCTTTATTTTTTAATGGTGGGGTTTTTTTTGTTTGTTTGTGTGTTCAAGAATTGCAATTTTAGTTGTTCCTTTCTAAGAGCGGTATAAATATAAACGCCATCACAAGGTCCGCAGCTAGCCCAGCCCCCCCGGGGGGGTTTCCAGGTCTGCTGGGGGCTGGGGGCTTTGGCAGGGAGAGCCTGGCAGATCCTCAGCTGGCATCTACTTCCCCCCCCCAAATCCCGGTTTTACAGTGCCCCTCGTTGATTCGGCTGTGAGGTGGGAAATGCTGCTGGGTTGGCTTTCCCAGAGTTGCTGCTCAGGGGAAAAGCATCTCACCTGCAGTGAACCCCCCCGGGGAGCGGGTCCTGCTTCCAAAGCCAAACCGATTCCTTTCGGGTCCATCGCGTGCAGGTGTCGGGGATCCTCGCAAACGCACCCGTCGAAGCAGAAAGCGCCTGGCCACGCAAAAGGGGTTTAATCTTCGGGGCGGCTGTTGCGAGATCTACATTTCCTTCGATGCTCTTAAGACGGTCCAAACCTCTCTTGCTACGGGCAGGATCAGGCCCCTATGTGTATGCTCGCATTTTCTTTCAGACCAGAGCTCTGCTGTTACGCTGTAGATGCTAAATAATACGTTGTGTTATTAGTCATGTTGACTTTGACGGGGGAGGAGAGGGGGAGCGTGTGTCACCTTGCTGCTGGCTCGGGTAAGGATTTTCACACTGGTGCAAATGAAAAACAACTGATTTATCTGCTCATTTATAAATGCGTGTGTACGGTGGGGAGAGGGTGGGTCTTTGCGACACGCTGTGCAGCACACGGGGAACATCCAGAGGAAAACCAAGGCGGCCACCCCAGGACAGCGGTGCTGGGGGAGGGTTATAACTTCGCATCGCTGGCTTAGGAGAAAAATTCAGCTTCCCGCGGGAGCCGTTTAGGGTGCGTGGTCTGGGTTTGTGTCTGCTGCGTGTTGTGCTGCTGCAGAAGCGACTCCTAAACTTCAACCGCTGGCCTTGCGTCACCGGTTGCTGGAAAAATCAGTTTGGGTTGTAAGGGTCAGGGGGTTCTGCAGGTTTTGGAGGGGGAGATCTCGGTCCTGCTCTGAGGATGGGAGGGCAGGGAGAGCCTGAAAGCGTGTGAGCGGTTTGTAAGAGCGAGGGGAGCCTCGAGCAGTGCCAGCAGACACCTTCCCAGTGAAACCAGAGCGGAGCTGGTGGGGCCGTGGTGCTTTTTAGAGGTGGGCTGGTCCAAAACCCGCCAGGTCCCGACTTTGCGGAGTGCCAGGGTGTTTCGCCAACCCCGTCCCGTGTCGGGGTTGGGAGCTGGCATTTGCAAGCCGAGGGGGGAAAAAAAAAATAGCCAAGCTTGTGGAGTTTGTTTCCCTGCACACCAGTACAGGCCTGCGCTGGAGAACAGGAGCAACTGGGGGCCAAAAGCAGGTTCTGTTGCTGTGTGGCCCCATCAAAATCTCAGCTCAGTTTGGCCTAAAAAGGATAACCTGGAGGAGGTTCCTGGCCGAGTCCTGCCTGTGGTTAGACTCAGATAACCCCGCTGATGTCATGGGTGGAAGCGTGGCCAGCGCTGGGCACTTTTAATAGTAGTATCTCATTTTCCTGCTCGTCTCGGGGGGTTGCTGGCAGATGCCAGGCAGAGGCTCCCCGCAAGGACGGCACGTCCCTGGGCATCTCCCAGGCTGGATGCTGTGGCTCTCCATCTGCTCTCCTGCTCCCAGGACAACCTGCAGCCTGATGGCAGGGTCCGTGGGCAGCGGGGCTGCCTGCCCCTGCCCCGTGTCTGCCTGCGTGCGGCTTTCCCGCGTGGCGCAGGTACCACCGCAGCCTGGCGTGAGGTTCATAAACACCGCGGGCTCCGGCAGATGCTGCCTTAGAAGCCGTCTGGGGGTACAGATCTCCCTTTACTGGGTTTTGAATGATCAGGGGTGTTTTGCTTTTGCTCCTCTGCGGGGGTGGTGGTGCTTTGCCATCTCCAGGAGGAGGAAAATCAAGAAAAAAAGCCGTCGCGCAAGTGCTTGCGAGGCTGGGGGGGGTGCCCATCTCCTGGTGGGGTGGACGTACCGAGGTCAGGCTTTGCACGGGGGCCAGATGCGCAAACCAAGGAACTTGGCGCTTGTTCCCAAGGCCCTGACCACTGCGATCCTTTTATTGCTTCGTTTTCTTCTCTGCCCGTTCCCCTAAGAAGGCGTCGACTCCTTGGGGAGCCAAAGGGGGATGGCGAGCTCGGGGAGCCGTCCCTCGAGGCTCAGCCTCATGGAGGGAAAACAGTTAACGGGTGTCCGAGGTTGGTGCTTCCCTCCCGGAGGTCAGTTCGCCGGGTTGCAACCTCTGCGAGTGTGTCTTCCCACCCGGCCGCGGCTGCTCAGGATGTGGGGTGAGAAGCGGCCGTGCACGGTCCTGGCGAGGCCGGAGCGGGAACGCCTCCAAGGAAAACAGCGAAACAACCCCGCCGTGTTCGGTTAGGGGGGGAGCAACCTGGAAGGTGGGGGCTGCTTCGGGTGGAAGAGAGCGTGGGAGCGTGAGCATCCACGAGGCATCTTCATCCCGCATCCCCTGGCCTTGCCATCGGGCACGTGGCTGGGATGAGCCCGGGTGCTGTGCAAAACCCGAAGGAGATTCGTGGGAGCCCGTGTCTGGATTGAAACCTCAGCGCGGTCCTCAATTCTGCTTCTTCAAAAATTTACGGCCGATAGGAAAATCCACAGGGAGGAAAAATTCTGAAGGATGCGGAAAGTGTCACGGCTTGTCTGAGCATCCCTGCGAGGAAGGAGGACTCTTCTGCCCCACATCTGGAAGATGCTGGACGGCTCCGTGGGGCCGCCGGTGCTGTACCGGAGAGGGGCCTCGTAGGAGTGAGAGATAAAGCATAGTCACGTCCTGGTCTCTCTTGCTGAAGCACAGCGTAGGGCTCGACCTCTCCCAGTTGACATATGCAAAACAAGCTGGGAAGGAATTTTTGCCTTTTTCAGAATCTGGGCTGTGACAGTTAAATAAATCCTCTGAGGGTCCCTGAGTTTACTCCACACCGTCCTGCTGTGTTGGAGAGAGCGTTTGTGTTTCTCGTATTTAGGGCATTTTATTTATTTAAAAGAGAGTGGGGGAGAAAGCCACAGAATTTTAGTTATTCATTGCAAATATTATTATTGGCGTTCTGCTCCTGTTGAAAAAAAAAAAAATCAAGGGGGGAATCAAAACATTTCACTGGAAAATACACCCTGGCTTCGTCCCACCCACATCTTGAAGGCAAAAATAAATATTTATTAAGAAATGGGTTAAAAACCTTTTTGTTGGAGTATTGTTTTCTGGGAGCAGGGGTGGATTCCCATATGCCAGAGCCCTGCCACCCGGCTGAATTTTTTATTTTTGTATTTTTTTTTGCAGGATGGTTAAGAAAACAAACAAACAGCGGTGCTGTGGGCGCCGTGGGGCAGGGGCTTGGGCATTGGGATGTTCTTTGGTCCTGCCTCTAGCACAGGGTGCTCATTCCTACGAGCATCCCGGCTCTTTTTGGGGGGGGACCATGTGCGAGCAGGGTATTCCCCCGAGGCTTTTGGCTGCCTGAAGTCACCGAATCATTCTTGCTATAAATATCCTGCAACCCCGCTGCGGGAAGCGGTGAGACAGCAAGAGGCGGTGGCCCTTGGCAAGGGGCTTAACCCAGGGTGGTGGTGATGGAGTGGGGATGCCAAGGGGGTCCCTGGCCCCCCCCCCCAGCCAGGCTCTTCTCTGCCAGGCTGGGCTGTCGGTGGTAACCAAAGCCGGGGACACCTCAAATCACTGCTGGCGAAGTGCTGGGTATTGCAGGGACCTTCCCCGGGAGCTCGGTAACCTAATTGGGCTCTAATTAATGGTGTTCTCTGGCTCCGATCCCCAGCGCGTCTCCCCA